AAGGAAAAAAAATGGGAAAGTTATAACTTTCAAGAAAAAGTTTCAAGAATCAATGCTGATTCAAGCTGAAAATGCACAAGTTTAGATCCTTGGCAGTTGAGGAAGATTTTTTTTCTTTTGCTTTACACAAGTGAATTTCTAATGTCAGCTTGAAGGAATTAATGAGAGTCTAAGAATTCAGTTTTTGAACTGAGCTGTGTTTTTGAACAGGTGATTTTGATTCTAATGTTGAAGGATTGTGTAGAACCAGCCACACTTCAGAAAAACTGATAACAGAGAAATGGTTCTCAGTGTGTCCCACAAGTTGCCAAACAATCCACCTCAGGTTTAATTTCAGAGTTTTCCTTTTCTTAGACTGGCTACCACTCAAGGCAAGAGGGTTCAGTTTGTCCTGATATTTAACCCATGTCTGAGGAGAGAAGACTTGGATACATACCTTTCTCAAGGATATTTGTGAGGAAGTGAATATAATAATTTTTGGTTAAAATTTGAACTTGGCATAGCATTCACATGTTACAAGTAATACACATATAGAAATATATATATATATATATATATATATATATATATATATATATATATATATATATATATATATATATATAATATATATATATATATATATATATATATATATATATAAAAATATATATATATATATATATATATATATATATATATATATATATATATATTTCTAAAGTGGTAAGTATGTTTAATATATGTCACTCTCACCAAGTGATTAAGAAATAAATTCTTCATCTCAAGTCAAGCAAGCATCTATTTTATATTTCTGTCAATTATGCATCCATATATCTTTCTATCAATCAAGTGTACCTACTTTTATGTGCACAACCCTAATCTTCCTATTCTACATCAATGTCAGCTCTCAAGCAAGATCCTAGTATATTCATGTCTATCAGATCCAGTCTACTTGTTTAGATGGGCTGATCAGTCTGGGAGTAGAAATTATTTTGTGATTTTCATTTTTAATCACAGTTTGTGCTGATACTATTTGTATAAATAGGAAAACCCAAGCCATTTGCACAATTCCTTAGACTGTTGCTATCCTGTCAAGCATATTTTTGCATTCGTTCTCGACTTGTTGGCTGCATCCACATATTATGTGTCTTACCAATTATTACTGAGTGAGAGAGCAGCAATAGTGATGTGGTGGTGGGGGGGATATACAAAGCCCAATATGCCCATTACAACACTGAGTCTGATGTAGGTAGGGGTGATAATATCACATATCAGGTAAATAAGATTGCATTGCAGGAGGGAGCTATGGAAGAAAGGTTTATTCTCCTATTTGTATTTCCCCCATTATGGGTGTTATCATATCCATGATATAATAACACCATAGTTCAAAAATGGGACAGAATGGGGGGAAAGGAAAAGGAATAACAAACTTGCTTTGTTCTCAGAGAGACTTTTATGCTACTAAGACATACACAAAAGTATTTATGCATGTCTCACACACAGAACAATATATCACATATATCTACACAGCAAACAGAGTGTAAAGAGAAACTAAAAGGAAGGGTCTTACATATAATATGGAGATTCTTCTGTGTTTCTGGAGAATGTTTATGACTCCAGATTTAAACAGGCTGGATTTATCTACTATGTCCCAGGCGAGGACATATTCCATGAAGGAGAAACAGCGAGTCTTGGGTTTTCCCAAATTGAGGACTGTGAGCTGGAGTTTCTATCTATGTCTGAAGGAAATATATTCCCAAATGGAAAGGGAAACTGCCCCATGGACTTGTAAGCTGCTGGGTGGGTAGGCAGATTTTGCATCAACCCAGGCTCTGTGTGTGGCAGGGTGGGGGATGCTAAAAACGCCACTTCTCAGTTTGACTCCTGTAAACTGACTGACTGACTGGCCACTCTTGTCATTGTATGAAGTGACATCACTAACCCTGCTGTCACGTGACCCATGTGGCTATCTTGACCAAAGGGAGAGAATTGCCTTTTGCATCCCGATATGGGTACACTAAGAAAGAAATGACCTGCTACTAATTGTTTTGAAACATACCCATTTGCCAGAGTGTGGCAAGCCAAACCCTATTATAGACACCTGCTCAATCCATAGAGCACACCTGTGGCTTATATTGCAACTATGCTGAGCGGACATTAGTTACAGTTACTGGGAGAGAGAGCACATAATCTGGTGCAATCAATTTCTTGAACAAATCCTCAGTCATTTGCACAACCATTGATGGCTTCCAAATTGTTCCATCTACCTAATTTTAATCACAAAATGGAATCATTTTTCAAACACTTTCCAAAGATGCCATATGTTGGGGACACCTTTCTTGGTTGAAAACATCAAGAAGTCATCTCAATGAACAAATCGAACATGATAAGATTTGAACCACAGTTTAATGGTCAGAAGGTGAATGCTCTGACTACATAGTCATGTGCCCATTATGTATTTACTTGGCATATACATTATAGACAAATGTATATTATATGGTGAGCACATAACCTTACACGTGAAACCTAATTAGAAATACCTTCAGGCTGGATAACCCACTCTCCTCAGACAATTTCTGATTCCGAGTGTTTCCAAATATCTAGCTGTGCCCCCCAAATTGCCTTGGCTGCCTCAAACTTAAAAACACAACCTTCTTGGCATGTGGCCATGATGTTCCTCCTGCTCATGAATAGATATGTACAGTGCAGATGGTTAATGTCAATTTCTCTAGCCATTCTTAATTCAACAAGACAAAGCATGTACATGTTAATACATCCAATCAATTGAGATTCTGGGAGAGAGAGCACATAATTTGGTGCAATCAATTTCTTGAACAAATCCTCAGCCATTTGCACAACCATTGATGGCTTCCAAATTGTTCCGTTTTGCATTAACATCATCATTATTATTTCACAGAACAGTAATCATGGCTGGCAATTAAGTGACAGTATGCCCCTTACAATTTCTTGAACTTTCATCAATATTCATGCTGATTTCAACACTGCTGTGGTCTGAATTAGTTCTTCCAATGTCCCTGTCTTGATTCTTGGAACTTTTTCTCAAAATGACCAATTGCTACAAACCATATTTGAATGTCCCACAGTTTTAACTCTCTTAAGCAAGGTCTTAATACTTTTCCTTCATTTTTCATCTGAAAACATTTATACAGCTTTTTTTATTATCTGTAACTCATTTATAAACAATTGTACTTATATTTGATTAATTCTGTAACAACTAATATCAGTGGGGCTTAAATAACTAAAAAACATAAAATCTGCCAAAAAGACTTACAAAAGAAGTTATTTTATTCTATATTCAAGAATTCTACTAATTCTACTACTTACATTGAAATATCTTTCTTTTCTATTTATTAAATGCAAGCATAAAAGATTTAAGCAACCACACTCCTCTGTGGTCTTTTGAACATGAGTAGAGTTTTATCCCTTATTCCCAGTTTTGGGTTTCTGGTTCCTTTTATTGTCTTTTCATTCTCTTTCATCCCCAGTGACTCTGTCCATCTTAGTAACATTATTACCTTGCTTGGGGTGAAATGATAAAAAAAAACAAAAAAACATTTAAGCAACCCGAGTACTAATTCCTGTGCAAAAGTTAAGCAACCTGTGTATTGCTCAAAATCCTAAATTGCTTATAAAACAAAAACAAAAAATCTTCTTGGTAGCTTCTCATTTTTTGTTTATGAAAAGATAGAGGTGGTCAGTCTTGTAGTCAAACTCCCATATTAACTTGACCTTTTATTTTACCAGATTCTGATTTGTGTTTCTGGTCAAATCCAAGATATTTGCATAATTCCTAGTGATTCACTGCTCTTAACATGTTGCCTGGAGCACTTCAGGGTGGTGGAATGGTTATTAAGCTTGTCTTGTTAAATCAATTATGACTGAGTAGTGAGTTTAATCCTCACTGAGTGCTCCATACATTCAACCTTATGCCACATCTAAGCTACACCTACTAAAATTGCCTAACATGTTGCATGGTTTTATATTACTTATCACATTTACTGTTGCATTTGCAGCATTTTCTGGCACATTGCACACAGCAACTGATGCATTTATGCATCCATTCCATGTGCTTTGTATTTTTATAAATAACAATGAAAACATTAAGACTTTTTTCTTTTTTCCTTTTTCTTAATGACCATGATTCACAAATACATCACAAAGCATTATGGAGCGAAGAAAAAAAAAAGAAAAAGAAAAGAGGAAAATTAGTGTCATTCTTTATAGTTTAATTTAATTTACAGTAAATAAATAAATCGCAAATAATCTTATATTGCAATTTCTAATGGTAACATTAACAAAATAGAATTACATACGGGTTCAGATATCCAAAATATCAGTGAATGTGTTGATAAATCTAATTGTATCTATCCTAATAACGCACAAATAGTTTTATATAGCAATCCCCCCCCTTGTGCTTTTACACATGGTTTAATGGTTAACAAGCTTGTCTCATTAGATCAGTTACAAGTGAGTAGTGAGTTCAATCCTCACCGGGTGCTCTTCATGCTACGACTTCTTTGTACCAATAAAATGACATTATGTAAGGGTTCAACTATCGAAGGTACAAGGGAATGCATTAAAACATTTAATTTGATTTATCATAATATATTGATTGATTTGTTTCTAACGGTTTATCAACCCTTTACAGGTTATTTATAGCCAAAAAGTATATTTAAGATTGTAAGAATTTTTTTTGAAGATAATAATAATTTAGTGAAACAAGTTTTACTAATTAACCCATAGCTGGAGGAAGAAGAGATAGTATTTGCATGCAAGTGAATAATGAACCCAACTGGAATTGGAACTTGGCTTTTCGATTAACAATTCTGAGCTATTACACCACCCACACATCCAAGCTTACAGCACTTGATATTCCCCAGCAGTCACCCATCAAGGTAATGACCAGGCTAGACATTGCTTAACTTCTGTGATCATATGAGAAACAGTGTTTCAGCATGATACAGCTGTAAGCCCTTTATACCACCCACACATCCAAGCTTACAGCACTTAATATTCCCCAGCAGTCACCCATCAAGGTAATGACCAGGCTCGACATTGCTTAACTTCTGTGATCATATGAGAAACAGTGTTTCAGCATGATACAGCCGTAAGCCCTTTATACCACCCACACATCCAAGCTTACAGCACTTGATATTCCCCAGCAGTTACCAATCAAGGAAATGACCAGGCTCGACATTGCTTAACTTCTGTGATCATGAGAAACAGTGTTTCAGCATGATACAGCTGTAAGCCCTTTATACCACCCACACATCCAAACTTACAGCACTTGGTGTTCCCAAGCAGTCACCCATCAAGGTAATGACCAGGCTCGACATTGCTTAACTGACCAAGCTTGATTTCAATGATCATATAGGAACTGGCGATTCAAATATGGCCCCTCACAATACAGTATAAATAATTTTACAGCAATTTTCTTAGACACTTTCCTATCATATAAGGATTAAAAAGCTTGTCTTGTTAGATCAATTATGACTGAGTAGTATGTTCAATCACCACTGGGTACTCTATACTTCCGGCCATATGCTTAGTAAATTACTATAGAGCAAGGTGATACCTATAAATAACCTTTTTGGATTTGTTTTGCTATATAGAGTAATTTACAATGGTAATTGTTATTAGATGTCATTGTTTAGGTGGGGGTTTCAAATGTACAAGGTAACATCAAATGTAAGTAATAATGATATGTAACAACACAACAGCAATAGGGAATTTATCTGCCTCGTGGTTAACATTGCTGTAGGTTCAATTGAACAAAAACTAGTATCTCAATGGATGATTTTTTCATCACTATAGGGCTGGCGCAACATAATCTTCCTACTTTCACATTCCTAAAACCTCTATCAGTACAAAAAATTGAGTTTGTTAAATAACCACAGCAACAATTTCAGTTTTTATAAATAAAAAAAAAACAGCACCCTTGAGGACTACTTGCAAAGGGCCTGTAGGAGCAAATCTGATTGAGGGGCTGGGCAGTTCTTTGTGAGCTTTACGATATTATCAACATTTGCTTTTTTCTACCTACGTTTATGTTATAAGCACAACTATGAAATGAGGAAAAGTTTTTATGGATTTTGCCATCATTCTTCAGTCTTTTTTGAGGTCATTCTAGGGTCTTTTTGTGTCCAAATATGTATTGCTTATACTAAGTCTAAACCCCCCCTTCAAAAAAAAAACACTATATAAAATACAACATATTTTTTTTATCCATAATGTTGAATATGTTAAAATTATTCAACTTTTTAACAAGAAAAATCTCAAGTTGAGGTTAAATATTACCGCAAAACATTTATTTAAGGTGGAATGATGTGAGTGACAATGACATGTCTTTTTTTTTAGATACATTGTATAATTTATTTTCAATTTTTCTAGTTGAATTATTCACTTATATTGCCTATGAATATGATTCATTATTGTACATGATTAGGTTACGACAAAATTTGTATTTTTATGAAATGAATACATACAACATTATGAAAATTGAGATAGTAAGTAGATAATATGCTTATTTTCCGGTCAAGGGAACACAACGTTGTGAGGAAGATATATAATTTATATATGCCGGGTCCTCGGAGATTTCGACTCCAGAGCAGCACCTCCCCAGGGAACTAAATGAGGAGAGTTATTGGTCATTCTCTAAAAATGTGTTTGCAGCAGATATCACTTGAACGGGTCAATTTTTTTCTTCTTCCGATAAGTAATCAAACTAATGCCTCCATTTGATTGAGGGTATAGTTTACGATGCACTCATAAAGGTTATTTTTAAGTAAAATCTTCTTTAAAGTATATACGTGTTAATTTCTTAACCTGAAATCAAGGCAACCGTTCAAAATGCCGCCGTCTTTACTAGGTGAGCCGCATCATTCAGAACTAGTGCTTGAAATATAGCCGTAGACGTACACATACTAATAGAATATATAGGGAGAGGTAGAGAAACGAAAGAAAGAAAGAGAGAGGGAGTTGTTGCAATAGGTTTGTGTTGTACATGAGCAGGCAGCACGTGGGTGACCCAAATGTGCGTGCGCAGCTTTTTGCGCAGCTTCCGGTGGAGGCAAAGTCCAACAATAACAACAAAATAAAGAAAAGGAAAACGAAAAAGAAAGAAAGAAAGAAAGAAAGAAAAAAAAAAAAAAGCAAAGAAAAAAAATGATAAAAGGTTTAAAAATATCTGAAAAGAAAAGAAAAAGCTATAAAAAAGGCGGAAAAAAACTGAGTTTTCTTCCAACCTGAAAATTAAATGAAATTAATTAAAATTAAAAAAAATAAAATAGAAAGTAGTTTTTTTTAAACAGAATATTAATTTAACTTTGAGTTTTAATTAGCAAAGTAATTAATATTATTTTTTTTAATTAATTATATTTAACTTTTCTTATCTTTGCTAAGCCTTGTCGGCAAAAATAAGAACATGAGAGATAATATTATTAATAATAATAACGTCTAAATACTATTAATATTGTTACTGACAAAACTGATGGGGGGTGCGTTGTGAATGTTTAACTGTGACTGCTTCTAAGAGACTAGACTACGTTTTATTGTGTGTCTTGTCGGAAAACTGCAGAGGAAATCTCCTCTATCATTTTTGGATATTTATTTCACTTGATGTTTCCAAACCCGAAAAAAATAAAGGATAAATGAGAGAGAAAACCCTTTTCTCGCCTTTTTGAAATTGTAAATTTGGATTTCTTTTCTTCCTGGACCTACTTTATATAGAGAAGAAGAAAAAAAAATTAAAACTACCTTCTTGATCTGTTTATTTAAGAAGGAAAAAAACCCAGATAAGACGAATTTATACCTGGAAAAAAAAAAATCACATTTACTTGGCTTTTTTTACCCAGAGGGAAAAAAAAGAAATGCTTTAAAAAAAAAAAAAAGGAGAAGGATTACGCATATAAGAAGGTGAGAATATTGGAAAATAATTATTTATGTTTAATTATTATTTTTAAAGATTAAATTCTTACCATTTTTATGTTCGATATTTTATGTAAGCTTTTAAATAAATTTATAATCTCTAAAACTTGTACAGATACAAAAACAAAACGTGTACATTTTCAACGTGCGATAAAAATGCATTGTGGAAAGAAAGAAAACCTTTTCTTTTCTTGTTATAAATTCTTTGAAAATTGTCTCTTTAATAATGTTTATCTATTTTATTTTTAGCAATTAAAAAAATCTGACTTTCTCTATTTTGTGGCCGATATCTATCTCTTTCTATCTATTATAAATATTTTTGTACGGAGAGATTTTTGACTGGCTTGTTTGCAATTCTTTCATTTGTCAATGGTTTCCCTCGCAATATTTCCTACGATGAGTTTTACTTATCTATTAAAAATAGGCGATATTTAAAAAAAAAAAAAAAAAAACTAAAATATCTACTAGTTGATAATATTTGTTAAATAAACAATTATTCAACCTGACTGGGTGCTCCTTCTTGACGAGTAATGTTTTTTTTTTTTTACATAAATATATGCGCTCTACATGTGTTTAATTTCTTATCCCCCCTCCATATGATAATTGTTTCTTTTAAAAGAAAATATTTAATTTACTTATAAAATCTGACCGGTTTGGTTTTTAGAATCATTTCATGTTTATTTTATCTTCATAGCCTTTAACTAATCGTGGTTCCACTTGTCTCTTCCCGGTAAATCCTTTTTACGAGTTGAAATATTTCTTCTCTTCCTGAATGTTTTTATTTTACACACAGTAAGCCATCGGCTTTTAATTAAAAAAAAATATTGGTTATATTTTAAATCTGCTTTAATATTTTTCCTCCCTTTTAAAATTTGACAGTATAATTTTTTTGTTTTAAAGGAGGGAGGTTATATTTTTACTTCCTCCTTTTTTAATTAATTTTTGCAAGAATGGGTGTTACACACGCACAGTGCGTGTTTTTTAAAATGATCTTGTTTGTGGCAAATATTGTAAGTAAATTATGAAATTCTAAAAAGGCACTAAACTGTGTAGTGATATTTTTAATAGCCTGTTTTAAAACTTAATTTATGATTTATTTTTATTTTTTTTACTTTGTCTCATATTGCGGAAGATTATTGACTAAAGTTTTCACTATAACATTTCTTGTAAATGCGAGACAAGTAAAAAAAAAAAAATTAAACGTGAAATTATTACCTCGTCTGTTATTTAAAATGACTTTTCTAAATTTTTTCGACATTGTCATCGTCAGTAGAAATTTGACAGAAGGTAATTTTTAAATGTCCATAATAAAGCAAATATTTGTTTCGGGGCCTCTTAATAATTTTATTTCTCCCAAAAACAGAATCAAGTCGAATAAATCATGATTCATAGGTCACACGATCAAGTTGTCTTAAATAAACTGGTCCAGAAGGTGTTTGAGAAACCTTAAATACATTTTCAATGTTTACTTTTTTAATTAAATTCGTCGTCGTCTTGTAACTATATTGAGATTTGAGACTTTTAAAAATCTCCAAGAATGACTTGTGTCCAAAGTTTGTTTTTTTTTTTTTTTTTGTCCTTAAAAAGGTGAATTTAAGAATAAGCTACTTACAGAAAAAAGTTTTTTTTGTTTTTTTTTTTTCATCAGTCACCAACTTCGTTATCATGCATTGCAGATTATTTTAAAAATCTGTTCGTGCTTTGTAACCAAAATATTTTTCAAAATTGTTTCAAAAAGTGACTGCATTTTTTCTTTAGTATTATAAAAATACTTGAACTTGACTCTTGAGTATTTGTTCTAAAAAAATCAAGCTTTTTTTTAGTCCCCCTCAAAAAAAAAAAAAATTACTATCTCAGAGAAATGTTATTTTTTCCTTTTTTTTTTTTCTCTCCTTTAAATACAAATAATTTAACTATCGTTTAAATTAGGATAAAAAGTATTTACGATTAAATACAAAAGTTAAAGTGTCAAATTTTAGTTAAGTGAGCATTCCTTTTGCGAAATTACATTTATTATGATTATTTTAAATTCCTGTTCAGTTTTCTTAAATACCTGGGTTTCTTGTGTCAAACAAAACTGTACAAAAAATATTTGCTTTTGAATTGGTATTTAGAATTTATGGTATAACCTGAACCATCAGTGACTAGACACACATATGGCCTCAAAAGCATTTTATTACCAAA